ATTGAAAGTAGATAAAGGACCAAATGTGATAATCTCTCAGTATCTGTACTGCAAACCATAATGCCCAAAAGTAGGGAGAGTAGGGGGGAAATTGTCTGCCATGGAGAGAGGGGGAAGGCGGGAATGGGGGGGGGATTACTGGGGACATTGATGGTGGAAAATGTGCACTGGTGGAGGGGTGGGTGTTCGATCACTGTATGACTGAAACTCAAACATGGAAGCTTTGTAACTGTATATCATGGTATATCATGGTAATTCAATTAAAAATTAATGCTGATCACAAAAACTAAAATGAGCATAGCTATATAATGCAATAGACAAGAGGATATACATAACTTCGTAATACACAACACTTAAAGATAATATCCAGAAACAATTTTATGCCAGGAAGTTCTAGATATGTAGGAGTTTGGCATGGGGGAGGAGCTCTCCCAAGTCATGTTCGGGAGAAATGGATGCCTAACATGTGATTCTTGCAAGGGCCTGAGAATATGGTGCTGCTCCCAAACCAATTGGGCCCAGTGCCTGCCTTTTTGTGTGTCGGGAGAGAGGACTCCAAGTGGTACTTGGTACTCAGGGGACCCTGGGGTCCACTCCCAGGGTTACTCAGCCAGCAGGACCAGACAGCTCAATGCAAGCCCAGAGGATGTGGTACACTTGGATCTTGAAGCACAAAGGACACAAGGTAATAGGAATAATTCCTATTTCAGTGGTGCTTAGGGGTTACTAGGGGTATACTTCATGCTCAGAAGGGGGGCCTTGTGGAGTCAGAGATGGAACCAGGGTCCCACACATGCAAGGTGTGTACACTAACTCATGGAATATCTCCCCAGAACCTTAGTGCATTTCAGAAAAAAAATTACTCAGTAATCCACTAGAGATCTATTTTCTTGAAGCAAAAGGAAGTTCCCCCCAGTTGCACTCAATAGGATCATTCCAGCACCCCACCCAGGGGCAGTACAACCCACTTTGACAAAGGGTCTTAAACCACTTATCTCCATTAATTGTGCCTGGAATACCCATAAAATCCCAGGAAATGTTAGATAAAATTAGCCATTATCTTAAGTTATTTTTCTGTTAGTTAATTAAGTTTTTTTAGAGTCATAAATTAGGTATAATAAAAATATCATTCATGATGCTGACACTTTAAAGATATGACTATTTTATTCTATTTTTTCCATAATACTGTTAAAGAAAGGGTTCCCTGCATACAATGTTCCAACCTCTACTCTCCACCAGAGCATCTGTTTTCCTCCATCACTGTCTCAGGGTCTCTCCTTGAAACACACCCCAACTCCTACTCCCATTTCGCTGTCATAGTAAGCTCAGTTCCATGTGAAAGCAAGACCTAAAGTAATTAGGTAATGACTTTACTGAATGGGGCTGGAGCAATAGCACAGTGGTAAGGCGTTTGCCTTGCGTGCAGCTGGACCAGCTGAGCTGGGTTCGATTCCTCCGCCCCTCTCGGAGAGCCTGGCAAGCTACCAAGAGTAACTCGCCCGCATGGCAAAGCCTGGCAAGCTACCTGTGATGTATTCAATATGCCAAACACAGTAACAACAAGTCTCATGATGGAGACGTTACTGGGCCTGCTCGAGCAAATCGATGAACAACGGGAGGACAGTGTGCTACAGTGTGCTACAATAAAGTAATTAAAGTAATAAATAACGTTGGGCCAGGGCTGGGGAGGGGCTACCCCCAGTGGCACTGGGAATTATCCCGAGCATTACAGGTTTTTGAACCATCGCCTGGTCCTGTAATCAGTAAAGATTTTTGTAATTACATTTTGATGAATTAAGTAACAATAAATGAACAAGTAGCAGCAGAAAGACATAACATTTGATAATATATATGGAACCAACAGAAGACCCTAAAATACATAAAGCAAATAGTAGCAGATCTTAAGGAAGACACTGGCAGGAACACAACAAAAGAGGGGAACTTAACACCCCACCTGGAGCAATGTACAGATCATCCAGACAGAAAATAAAAAAGAACACAATGGTATTAAATGAGAAATCATATGAGACGAACTTAATATATAATCACTGAGCATTCTACCCCCAAATAATGTGATACACATTCTTGTGCTTAATAAATTAAAGCTAGGCAACAGAGCAATCTCTCAAGATTCTGCCACCTTTTCCTCAGTCCTGATTCAGACTGATAGTGCCCATGTTTCATCATGCATATACTTCCTTTGTGCTGATGACTTTTCTTCACATTTGCTTCTTGATCCAATAAAGAAGCAATAAAATTGATTAAGGCATTGAACCACACTGCAGTCCTGCTTCACTGATTTTGCTTGTGGGTGGAAAGTTTTAAAAAATGCCCACCCTGTCTATACTTGGGATAAATTTCCCTGTTCGAAGCTAAGAATATGCTAATTTTAGGAAACTTCCCGTAGCTATACTGATACAATGCCATCGAATTGCTTAAGCATGAAGCATAGTAATGATAAGTTTGTAGTAATGCCCTATACAAACAGGCTCTTGGACCCCTGAGCTTTGTCTAAGGTCTGATCAGCTGATGTAATAAAGAACCTCCTTGTTCCCAGGCATGGATTGTCTCAGCATGTTTGATTAAGTGATAACACAGTATGACATTCATATCTGAAAGAGAATTTTATAGTATATAATTTTTCTTGTTTTTTTCTTTTTTTGGTGGGGGGCACACCCAGTGGTGCTCAGTGTTTACTCCTGACTTTGAATTTTGGGATCACTCATGGTCAGCTCAGGGGACCATATGAGGTGCCAGGTATTGGAATCTAGGTCAGTCACATGCAAGCTAAGTACCCTACCTGCTATAGCCCCTTTCCAGGATATATTCTTGGCAGACAGATTTTAGCCTTGTGTATTTTGAACAAATAGCCTACTGTGAATATCTCTATGGATTATATACTTGTTTAATAATAATAAGCATTGATTTTATGAATTGGTTCTGGGTTTTTAGGCACTGGTATTTAATATAATTAGTTGAAAAGGCATTAACAATTCTTTAACTAATGACAAAGAGAACACTGAAGTTAAGGACATGATACTGCAAAAGATAAATGAAATATTGTTATTGGATGATACTCATCAGATTCTTATAAAGGCAAGGTTCTGGTGAACATGTCTCTGATACTAGAAAATTTTAAACAAGAACAACCAGTGCTGGCATGGATGTGGGGAGAAAGGGAGTCTCTTTCATTGTTGGTGGGATGACGACTGGTCCAGCCTTTTTGGAAAACAACACAGAAATTCCTTCAAAAACTAGAAATTGAGCTTCCATATGATCCTACAATACAGCTTCTGGAAATATAACCTGAGGGTGCAAAAAAACACAGTAGAAATGACATCTGCACCTGTATGTTCAGAACAGCACTGTTAACAATAGCTAGACTCTGGAAACAACCTGAGTGCCCAAGAACAGACAACTGGTTAAAGAAACTTTGGTACATCTACACAATGGAGTACTATGCAGCTGTTAGGAAAGATGAAGTCAAGAAGTTTGCTTATAAGTGGATGGTCACGAAGAGTATCATGCTATGTCTGATTGGGGGGGGGTAAACTCTAAATAATAGTGGTGAATCTTTTATTGAAACGATGAATCTAATCAAAGCAGATAGAGTGTTAACTAGAATTCATCTGCCTCATAGGGACTGGGAGGGGTGGGGGGTGGGGTTTTATTGGGGTTCTTCATGGTAAAAAATAAGTATTGGTAAAGAGAAATGTGTTTGATATTTGCATGACTGAGACCTAAACCTGAAAGCTTTGTAACCTTTCCCACAGTGATTCAATAAATAAAAAGAAAAAAAAAGAGTATCATGCTAAGTGAAATGAGTCAGAAAGAGGGACAGACATAGAATGACTGCACTCATTTGTGGATAATAAAGTAATATAATATGAGACTGACACCCAAGGACAGTAGAGACAAGGGCCAGGAATATTGCTCTGTAGTTGGAAGCCTGCCTCATGAGCTGGGAGAGAAGGCAGCTGGAATAGAGAAGGGATCAATAGAGAAGACAACGACGGTTGGAGGGTTAGTTTGGGATGGGAGATGTGTACTGAAAGCAGAAAAAGTAGAAAAAACATAATAGCCTCTCATTTTCTATATTGCAAACCATAATGCCCCAAAGTAGAGAATTTGGAGAAAATTGTCTGCCATAGAGTCAGGAGGAGGGTTAGGACTGGGGCGGGGGGATACTGGGGACATTGGTGGTGGAAAATGTGCAGTGGTGGAGGGATGGGTGCTTGATCATTGTATGACTGAAATTCAAACAAGAAAACTTTGTAACTGTATCTCACTGTGATTCAATTAAAAAAAAAAGAAAATTTTAGAGCCACCGCCATTGACTCTCCTCTGGCCCTGCTCTACTGATTCATAACTAAATCTCCGAGAAGACGCAAGTCAAGCATCTAAAGTTCATGGGACATGAGTCCTGTGGCTGTAAACTCTGGGGCACCTTCTGGAGGTGGGTGGCCTGAGTACCCACACCACTGAAGCCATAGCAGTGACACCACAGCCACTGCGGTAGCCACACCAATAGCTAAGTTTGTCACCTCACTAATATTCTCTTCAGTGACACCAAACTGCAAATAATTTCAGGTGCCCCAGTTCCCTGCCTGTGAACTTGAGTGTTTTTCGGAGTCAGGAGGGCAGCCTTCCCCACTTCCACAAATCCCCTCTCCATACTTCCAGAAGCCACGCCCACCTCCCACATCCCATGTCAACTCATTGGCCCAGACTGCAGATCCTGAAATTTCTTGACCACACTGTCACTTCATTCCTCCTAATTCCTCAATACTGAAATTCCAGTAGGAGCATACCAAATTCAACAGGAAAGTAACATAGAAGCCAAGTAAACTCAACAAACAAAAACAATAGCACAGAAGGTTCAACTAGCAACGAACAGCTTAGCAAATTCTTAGACAAGGACTTAAGACAAGGACTTAGACAAGTCCTTAGACAAGGACTTACAACCTAATGATAAGAGAACAATTTTCACATAAAATCAATTTTTTATATTTATCAATTTTAATATTGGAGCTTTGTTATATAGTAATTTTTAATTCTAGAATTATATCAACAATTCTAACTTTTGTCTACATTAAAATAAAATTTTAAGAAATTAAAACACATTTTGGTCAAGTTAAGGACTATAATAAGATAATAAAGCTTACTAGTTTCACAGTAGAAAGTAGGAGAAGAAAGATGGTATCAATGACTGGAACTCCCAAATGTACACAAATGACCTGAAAGCTTCTCTGTGTGCCCTGTAAGAAACCCTTCTGTCTAGTAGCAACAAGGCTAAGTCAGGGGTAGTTTCTGAAAACTAAGCCCAGAGTCTCATTTTTTCCAGTGCCTTTAACTACATTGCAAATTAAATTCCTAAATGGCCACTGGTTTCTGTTTAAGCCATAGCATTATTTTGGGAATAAGATGAGTCTGACTATTGGAAAAGGATCACAGGAGATTTTAATAAAGTTGGGGACACCAAGCCGCCGAATTCCTCTGGTTTTTTTTTTTTGCTGATTATTGAGTGTGCTTGTTCCAATTTTACGTTCCAGAACCAGAAGTACAATCTCAGATTTGATTTGAGTATACAGCACCAGCAGGTGACAATGATTTGTGGAGTTTATAGAAGACCTCCCAGTAGGGAGTTAGGGAGAAAGAAAGAGCTCAGCAGGCTGAGCAGGTTATTTACTCAGGGGAAGCTGGGATTGATCACTGCCACGGAAAGTCCCCCAGCACAATGAGATGAGATTAGCATCCGCATTCAGTGCATTTAAGAATAGAAGAGATCCGGAATAATCAGGGAGACTCAAGTCCAATCAAGAAACATGTCTAGAAAGCTAGAAAAGGCTATCTACCCCCCCTGCCCCCAAATCTCTCTTTGAGCAATACCCATTATGGATTTCTGATTCCTAAGTGGTAAGAGTATAAATTATAAAGTCTTGACATTTGGGTCCTTTGTTGTAGCAGCAGCGGAAACTTATACAGGAACAGGCAGGCAGGTAGAAAAGTTATAAGACAGGGAAGAGAGAGGCTGGGGAAAGGCAGACATTCAAGAGTTCAGGGGATAGTCAGAGGTGGAGGGTGTAAAGACAGGGAGACATTCAAACAAGTGGGGAGGGGGGAACAGTGAGATGGCAAGAAAGCTGGCAAGGGGACTTGGTCTGGGCAGGAACAGGTGACAGTAGGCAGACTGGTGGGCATCACGGTCCACATAGGTTATGTGAGTTTCTTGATGTAGAGGTGGATTCCATTCTCTGAATTCAACACAACTTTTGGACTGAGAATAGGGACCCTGGAGGGGTCAGGAGCCAGCTCGAAGCGGAGCAAGGTCAGCGCCACAGCCACCTTCATCTCATTCATGGCAAACTGCTTCCCGATGCAGTTCCTGTGGAGAGACAGTCATACGAGAAATGGTCTCAGATTCAGCTCTGGGCTGGCGAGCATCTATTAGAGCTGCCATGTACCTAGACCCAGGGTTTCCTTCATGGAGTTCCTTCTCGGTCCCTCCTCAACCCACATAGGCCTGAATTCCAACTCTGAGACCTGCTCAATTTCCCCAACCTTAGGAAGGCCCGTATCTCCCTCATTCCATGCCCAAGTTCTTCCCTCTCTCTTAGCAGGCCCAAAAGCCTGCGAAGGGAGAGCAGGCTCCAAGCCCAAGGTCAGGTGGTCTCCAAGTGTTCCTCAGGACTCTTTTCTTGCTCAATCTTTTCATGGCAGTTTACAGTGGGGAATCAGATCAAAGTACTATGAAGGGGTGACCCTCAGGCCCGCACCATTGGGAACATTCAGGGATCCTGGTCATATGGAGAAAACCAGATGGAGATTGAGTCAAAAGTTTGGATAGGATCAGGAAGCATGTGGAGGAGCCCCAGACATGGACCCTGAACCAGCTGAACCATCAGCTTCAATGAATGGCCCAGACAACCACCTCCCAATTACCCTGACTTACCAGCTCCTGTGTCTTCCAGTCCTACAGAAGTGCCCCTGCTTTCCTTCCTGTCCTCACTGGGGTCTCTATGTGCCCTGCCTCCCCTACTTCTACAGTGAAGCACAGCTAAGTCTGACTCTCCAAGGCCCTCCAGAACGGGGGGACACATCCTAGCATCTCAGTGGGCATCCATCCTTCCTGCATTGTTGCCTCACCCACCGCTTCCCTGTTCAGGTGCATTTTTTGGCTCAGTTCATATTGACCTGCAGGGTACTCTTCCTTCCACTGCCACAACCTCAAGGCTCAGTTCAGTGACAATCTGTTCTCATCCCTCTGCCTCTGCACCTCTTCCTCCTCTGATCCAAACCACCATTCAGGACATACTAGTGTTCAGAGCCCAGGAAGTTCCAGAAACAAGAGCATCCAACAATCTGCTTATGCAGAAGTGAGTGAGGAGAGAAGAATGAGCAGAGCTTGTGCTGGTTCCTGACTCAAAACTCTTGGATACAGGAATGGTGTTTCGAGCTGAGTTTCCTTCTCCTGAGGCTTAAGATGTACTTTAAAATTCGAACAAACTCAATGGAATTGAAAAAAAATAAAGATCTGACCCTGAAATTGGGCCCCTCGTTCTCCCCTGCCTATTCTGGCAGCCACATATCCATGAGCAGAAGCCTGCAGGAAAGACACCGTGGGTGTGAATCTCCTCCAATACTCCTGAGGCTCCCTCTAAAGCTCCTAAGGTAATCCCAACACCCCCGTCTTCTGAGGGGTGGGCACAATCCACCTGAGACTCTGGGCAGAGTGAATCATTGTGGTGGAAAAAAGCAGTCTACTGGAGCTGGAGCTGAATTCTGCAATGTGAGGCAAGGGCAGGACCTTGGTTGTGCAACCGCTGCTGTGCCTGTTCATTGGTGATTATTGACGATCAGTGGGGGAGACTCAAGGGCACATGACACAGGAGGTCACAACCCTCCCTGCCAACTCTAAGGAACTCACCTGGAGCCTCCTGAGAAGGGCAGGAAAGCGTGGCTGTGTCGAGCAGCACCTGGTGCAAATCGGGAAGGGTCAAACACCTGCAGAGAAAAGGGACAGAACAGGACAGAATGACTCTTCAGTCCAGGTGGGGTTAGGCCTCGGGAGAGGAGAGACAGGGTGAGGGTGAGGAGATCCAGACAACCCACTGCCCCACATCATACCTCTGGGTTGGGCCACACATTTGGGTTGTGGTGAAGGCCATAAATGGACAGGCCCACTGAGATTCCTGGGGGCAGGGAGGAGAGAGAAGACTGAGTACTCCCTTTGGGGCCCCAGTTCCCCAGCCCATAGTGTAAGTGGGCCGCACAAAACCTTGTGTGTCACCTGTCACCTCGTCATCTCTCTGCCTGTAGGATCCTGTGTAAAGAGGGTATGTGTGTGGGGGGTGGGGGTGGGGTGGGGGTAGGTGGAGGGGCGCATCTGGTGACTCCCCTGTGCTCAGATCAGAGGGAGAACAGGACCAGGATGGGGATGCAAGGTTCTATTTTTTTATTTTTTGAAACTCTAGCAGCAGTAACTTTTCCAATTGTTCCTTGAGTCTTTGGGGGATGAGAATTGACTTTTTTTTTTTTTACTTTCTTTCATAAAAACAGCCTTCAAGAAAGACAGATCTTTGTTCAGGTGAGGATGCTGAGTTCAGGAGAAGCTAAGTGACTTGGTGCTAAACACACAATTTATTTGGCAGAGGTGGGCTCAGACCTTGGGCTGTGTGTGTGTGTGTGTGTGTGTGTGTGTGTGTGTGTGTGTGTCTGTGTGTGTCTGTGTCTTTACTCTGATGACCCAGCCCTCCCAGTTCAGGAAAAAACATTTTTGAGCTGAAGTCCTAAGGACACACTTAGAGGCCAGAACTTGTTTGAGCTTTCCTGGGTGCTGTTGTAGCCTTTCACTGACCTTACCAGGAATGCAGTTTTGATTTCTTGAGGGGAAAGGAAGCAGCCCAGGGAATTGGGAGCTGTCTTCAGAGACTGGGCCCTTGAACTCTGCGGTGAATCCTGCTCTCTCGTTGCCTGGAGCTCAGGAGAAAACCACATTTCCTTCCACCTTTCTCCATCTAGCCAGCCCTTCCAGAGCAGAAAATGACTATTTTGATTTATTATGTGTGGTGCTTGTGGGGAGCTTACTGCCTGCGCTGTGCTTGGGTCACTCTAGCCTGTGCTGAGGGAACCATGTGGTAGCAGGGTTTGAATTCGGGTTGGCTGCATGCAAGGCAAACACCTTAAAACCCTGACCACTCTCTCTGGCCCTGGACATGGTTTGAAAGCTCAATATCTGAGGCCACACTCAGAGGCCAGAACTTGTTGACTGAACTTTGCTGGGGCCTTTGGCAGTGTTTCAGAGACCTGATCCCTGATTCTGACTACAAAATATTAATTTTTGTTAAAGCAGGGATGTTTGAGGCTACACCTGGAAGTGCTGGGGGTTTACTCCTGGCTCTGTGCTCAGGAATTACTCCTATTCAACTTGAGAAATTATAAGAAGTGCTGGGGAATGAACCCAAGCTGGCTGTGTGAAAGGCAAGTGCCTTCCTGCTGTACTATCTCTTTTGTCCCCAAAGTATTGATTCTTGAGGGGAAACAGTGAGAGCTCAGTGCTGTCTTTGGCCCCGTGACCTACACTCTCCTTCCACTATGCTGCTTCTCAGGGAGTGCACCAGGAGCAGGCTTACCTTTGGGTAGGGAGCGCCCATCAGGGAAGGTGACAGGTGAGCTGAGCAGTCTGGCCACACCAGGCACAGGCGGGTAGAGCCGCAGCGCCTCCTTGATGCACATGGTGGTGTAGGGCATCTTGTCCATGTGGTCCCTGAAAGGAGCATCCTGAGTGTGAGTGGAGCTGCCCTGGCTCCACTCCTGAGGTACTGGGCTTGCCTACAACTGGCACTCACCAGGTGATGGAGGCGCCATCCCCCAGCAGGCTCTGGAGCTCCTCCCGGCACTGCTGCTGGTGCTCGGGGTGTGTGGCCAATGCATAGAGGATCCAGGAGATGCCACTGGCTGTGGTGTCATGACCCTCAAACATGAACGTGTCCACTTCTGCCCGCAGGTCCTTGTCAGACAGGCTGCTCCCATCCTCCAGCTGCAGACATCAGGAGAGAGTGGGTTGACCCCTCTCTCTCTGGGTGTGTGGGCAAAGTCATGACCTTTTCCACACCCACCCTCTTCTATACTCACTTCCCCACACTCACCCTCCTCCACTCACCCTCCACACTCACCCTCCTCCACTCACCCTCCACACTCACCATCCTCCACTCAACCCTCACACTTTTTCACTTGCCCTTCTCCACTCACTTTCCTCCACATTCACCGACTCTATACTCACCCTTCGCATTCATCCCTCCACACTCATTCTCCTTCATTCACCCTCTTCACATTCACCTTCCTCCACTTACCCACCACATTTACCACCCTGATTTACCCCTTCACACTCACCCTCCTCCACTTACCCACCATACTCACCCCCTCCACACTACATGCCACACTCACCCCTCCACACTTACAACTTCCACCTACCTTGGCAAAGAGCAGGATGTCCAGGAAATCCAGGTGCCTCTTTTTCCTGATCTTTTCCAGCTCGCCCTCATCCTGCAGGTGCATCTTCCTCTGCTGGATCACACGGTCTGTCAGGACAGAGGTTCCAGGCAGAACTGAGGTGGTCAGTGACCACAGTAGCCCCAGGTACTTCCCATCCCCAGAGTCTGGTTGCAGTGAATCAGGAGTGCAGGAGCATGGGTGCACAGCAGGTGAGAGCTCCAGCTCCATGATACTGCTCAGGCCACGCCTCAGGACTCAGCCCAGGGACGCTGTTGAGCCCTGCCTGGGTGGGGGTTTCATTCAGCGTCCTGATGAAGAGATATTTGAAATGCTTTCATAGTCCAGCACCTCAAACCCTCAAATCCTGAGTGGCCAGCCAGGTTCCAACTGTGCTGGGGACAAGCCCCTGGGTCCCTGGGGTGGCTGATGCCAGTGGGGAGATCTTCAGACATGGGTTTTTACCTGTGTGCTCATGGGCGAGCTGGCAGGCCTTGGCATAGCTCCGGCCAGCAGGGGTCAGGCTGTAGATGAAGTCATTCTGGTGGAAGAAATTCCTCACCCGGGAAAAGAAGAGGTGCTTTAGGTCCTCGATAGCCTGGGTATAGGAGAGGGACTTCCTGCAGGAAGATGGGGCAGAGCATATGGGAAAGGAGTGCCCTGGCATTGATGGGGATCCTAGGGGGGTCCACAAAACAGGGAAACATTGTTATTTTTTATCTATATCCCCCTTGTCTTTTAGACAAGACTTGAGAGGCCAGGAATCAGGAACCAGAGGAATCAAGCTGTGGCTGATCTGGAGGGTGAGAGGGGTTGCCAGGGCTTGTCCTTTGTCAGGACCACTGAGAGCTTCACTGTTAATGCTGGTTCATAGGTAGACTTCCCTGCTCACAGAGAGTTCCCAGAGCTGGGCAGGGGTAGCCACTGACCTGTCGGTCTGAATGTTGCTGGGGTGGCTGAAGGCGCACTTCATGATGGTGTCCAGTGTCATTAGGGAGATGTGTCCAAGGATGTCCAAGGGGGCACTGTTCTTGCTGAACTCCACCCATTTATCCTGGGGGGAGGGGCATGGACATCTGTGTCCCCTCAACTGACAGGCTTTGTCCTGCCTTTCACTAAATATTCTTCCGCCCTTTCTAAAGCAGAATGGGTTTTGGTAAACTATGTGCATGAAGCACGTGTTTTGATAATATGATAACCATTTAACAAAATATCTTAGAATTGTTGTTCATGTTTTCTTAGAGTTGATTTTGTTTTGAATACTAAGAACCAGTTTTCTGTGGTATAGAGAAACTAGACAATGGGGTGATTTGTACCAAAAAGATGGCAAAACCTTGGCCCTGAATTATAAAATGAGAACTCCAAGAAAGGGGGGCAGTGATTGGTGGGGAAAAAGAGTGAAATGAACCAGACATAGTTTAAGGGCATTGATAGACAATCTTCAGCACTTTGGAGTTGGTGAGACAAGGTAACTATGTTGATCATAACAATAACCACAAGCATTAACACTATTATAAGCATGTGGCCAAAATGATAATTATATTAATATTTTTAGTTAAAAAAACCCAAATGATGAAAGTAATCCCTATCTTTTGGAGACCAACAGATTTTGTTTCTCAGAGTCAAAAGGGGAATTCTTCACTGATCCATGAGCTTAGCTTGATGGAAGAAGGGACAAGTGAAGTGAACTCAGGTATCTGGGGGAGAAAAAGCTGAGAAATCAGTCTCTGTAGATTCAATTCCTTTGTTCATCTGTTGTTAGCTGACCCACTGGGTGGGAGGCTCAGTTCTCTCGGAAGATTCACTCGCACAAGGTGGCTCTGAGATGCACATGGACATTTATGGCCTTCCATGGGGGACTCCATACCTTGCAAAAGCCCTGGGCCCAGTCAGAAGTGCAGGCATTACAGAACATTGGAGGTACATCCTGTCACCAACAGTTCATTACAACAGGGTCAGCTGTCATGGGATGGACAGTCATCCACTTCACTGATCTAAATATGCTTAGCTTGATGGAAGAAGGGACAAGTGAAGTGAACTCAGGTATCTGGGGGAGAAAAAGCTGAGAGATCAGTCTCTGTAGATTCAATTCCTTTGTTCATCTGTTGTTAGCTGACCCACTGGGTGGGAGGCTCAGTTCTCTCGGAAGATTCACTCGCACAAGGTGAGGAGGCCTGAAAAGGGTCCCCTTCTTCATGGCTACTTTTGTAGGTGTGGAGCCAAGTGTGTCTCCAATTGGTGCCTGGGTCATCTCCCAACTTATCTATTTTTGGAGAACAAGCACTGCTTGTGGGCTTGTTGGTCTTTATGGACATGCCTGTGGGAGCTCGAGGGGCATTTGGGTAAGAGTAGACTCTGACCTGTGGTGTGGCTAAAGGCGTGTGGGTGAGAAGAAGACAGACTTACCAGCATCACTTGCACAGAATCAGCTGTGAGCCCCACGTAGGGCTTGAGGATGTCATAATGGAAAGCTGGGGTCAGCATGCGTCGGTGCTGGAACCAGGGCTGTCCATTCAACAGGAGCAAACCATAACCTGGCCCAGACAAGGGTATGCGCAGGGAGAGAGGAGATGTGCTTAGAAGGACTTGGATGCTTTGGGCAGAGCCATGGATGTTCCAAGAGAAACATCATCAAGGCACAGGTAGAATACTTTTCACGATCATGAATTTTCTCATGTGTGGCACTAAGATGTGATGAAGGTGTCTGAGTGATAAAGGTTCAAATGGTGTTGTGGGTTAGGTGATATAAGAACTTGAAGTTGGGTGAAGAGAATTTGAGAGGATTGAGATGTGGAAGAAACTAAACCTAAAGAAGTCTTCATTGCTTTAGGGGGGTGAGGGTTTCGAAGTTGGAGAGGAAGTTTGATTCAGAGATACATGTCTGTCAAGGTATATGCCACCTGTTCTCTTGAGCCAGAGAGAATTCTAGCACCCGACTAGAATTCTGAAAGGACTGTATTCCTGAAAGTTGCATATACTTACCAATCCAGGGAGCCACAAATCTATAGGGAACTGGAGACTTTGGGTCTGAAAGGTAAGGAAGGGCATTGTAAGAAAGCTATAGGACAAACAAGCAGAGTTGTGAGTGGAGCAGGGTTTACATGAGAGTTTGTGCATTCCCAGTGACTGTTGCTGACCATCTATCTTAAGTTATCCCACTACCTCTTACCCTGATGTTCCTGTCCTGTTATCTACAGTGTCTGGAATTCAGACTCAGTTTTAGCATCAGAATACTCTGAACTAGAGATGACTCGGAAAAAAGCATATACTTTCCTCAACACCAAACAAAAGGCAGAAGGCTATGGACTTTCTATAATTTGTAGTGGCTCTGTCACCATGACTAATTATTTTCTAACTTTCAAATCAAAGTGTCTGATTTTATATAACAAATGATGTCAATTTGGTTAAGCAAAAAAGAAAAGAAAATACTAACATTGCTACTTAAGCTATATTTCATTTAAGTAAATATTGCTGGTTTAGGCAGGCTTGGAGGATGGTCTATAGAAATTTCAGGCACTGTTGACTGAACCTCTACTCTTCTGGAATTCCAGGGTTATGCACTCACATGATTTTACTGGCCACACTTGGCAATGCTTAGGGCTACTCCTGTTGGTGGTTGAGAATCATGTAATGTTGGGAGCAGGTGTGTTGACTAGAATCAGTCAACATTCAGAGAATGTACCTTAACCCCTGTACCATCTCTACCGACCCAGAACCAATGTGGGAGGAGCTACTGTGCTTGTAAAAGGGGGATTTGCTCTTACCTGATCGCCCCAGAATCACCTTCATGTAGTCAGGGTCATAGACCACAATAGTGACCTTTGTGCCCCATAACCAGCGAGGACAGGCACACGGAAACTTCTCTATCCTTTTAAGTAGCTGAGGCAGCTCTTCATTATTTTGGAACTATGATCAAAGTAAGACAAACCAAAGACAATGTCTAGCTCCTCATAGCTGAAGAGAAGATGAAGAGTGAAATGACCACAAATGAGAAAGTTTTGAATCAATCAGCAGAACTAAATATTACAATTGCTTCTTTATGACCTCTAACCCACACTTGGGGGTTGATGAAGGTTTGACATATATGGTATTCTTGTTGGAGATGAAACTGGGTAGAAATATTTACCCTAGAAATTGGTTTCTTGGTACATGAATTTTTGCAAGCCATGACTACAATGTTTGCATGAGCAACTTGTATGATCACTTGAATCAATATATTCTATGTTTACTTAGAGATAAAGTGGATTATTAAAAATTCAAATTTGAATATTGGTTTTATTCTACCACCCTGGTTACTATATGTTGGCAAATAATCAAACACAAATCTCAATACTTGATAACAGAGTAGTGTGTGGGGTATACAGGGAATATTCAAAACAAGCCTTCCCAAGACTTGTCTCTTGGTACATGGACTCAGTCCAGACCCTACCGGCTCCAAAGAAACTTTTACCATCCTTCTCATTAACTGGCAGGAACAAAAATGGGAGGATGCTACAAAATCATTTCAGGGAACAAGAGCCCTTCTGCAAGACCGCCTTTTATGACATAAACTCTGGAGAAGTTCTTGTGTTTAGGACCTGGGTGTCAGTTTCTCTCCAGCAGACTATTAATTTGAATCCTTTAAAATCCTTTGAATTTGCATTTGGGGATCTTATCCTTGGGTGTACAGAGAAGATGAATTTTCAGAGCTTATAAGTTTGCCATGAAAGTAGAAGAAAAAGGATTGTTTCCTTTGGCCACAGAGTGACTGTTCTAGTGACTAGTGCAAGGGACAGCAGCTGTACAGATCAGGCCAGAACAGGCCAAACACAGAGCTTTGCTCTTCCTCAGTTTCCTCACACTCATGCCTTAGAGATTGACCCTTATCTCAAACACGTGATTTCTTGTGCAATCAGAATATAGGAACCATAATGTTGTTCCACGACAAATGTTTTTCACTTTAAATTTTTTTACTGGCTTATCACTAGTTCCTCGTATTCCATAATGTCTGTCTTTCAGCCTCACACTTCTATAGATACATGCTAGTTTAAGTGATTAACTTTTCTTTGTTCTGGGGCTATACTTGGTGGTGCTCAGGGATCACTCCTGGTGGTGCTTGCAGAACCATATGTGGTGCAAAGGATTAAATAAGGGCCAACCACATATTAGGCAATCACCTTAACCCCTGTACTCTCTCCATCCTTAAGTGATAACCTTAGTGAGAATTTTTCTTCAAATGAGAGCAGCCTATAAGCTGGGCCAACTGTGAGAAGTTGGTGTGGAGCAGCTCAACAGAACTCTGCAGCGCTTAGAGGTTATTTCCAGTAGTGCACAGAGGACTTTGGGGTGTTAGAAATTGAAATGGGGTTCACCAGTGGAAACCCCACTGGGGTTGGTCAGTGCTTTAATTCCTTAGCTATCTCACTGGTCCCAAAAAGATGAATTTCTTTCCTTTCATCCACACAGCAGTGGTTCTTTTCAATGACATGGGATTCCTGAATGCTGTGAGCCATCTTAGCAAATTCAGTAAATCTGAAGAGGCTTTATGTCACCTTCTCACTTGCAGTCAGTTGCTCAGAAGCACAGAGAGTGTCTGGAATAGAGCTGAGCTAGGGATGTGGCTCAGTGGTAGGTGGTGTGCTCTTCGCATATATGACATGTGGGTTTGATCCCCAGCAACACGTACATAACAAAAACCACAGGAAAAAAATCAAAGGGTCTTGATGAGTGTAGTCAGACAAAGACAGACACCAGCTGGTTTCACTCCTGGGTGGGATAGAAAGAAACAAAGCAGTAAAGAGGCAAAACCACAAGCAAGCAAACCCTTGGAATGAGATGCCAGAATTTAGGTGAGAGTGCGTTGTGCACAGTTCACTACAAAGCTGGGGTTCAGTGAATAAGCACTGGAAGCAAACACTGGAAGTTATTTGCCAACTGTGCAAATCTCAGTTCCTCATCCAGGGCCATCCTGGCCTCTTCCTCACATGTGCCAGCCACTGGTCGGAATTTGGGCACAGAAAACCTCAGTCCTCATTGCAGTCAAACAGGACTGGTGGGTTCCCTGGCCCTGACATCATTCCTCCCCAAACTGGTAAACCTCTGTTCCTGTCACCCAACACCTCCTTCAACTGGGCACCCCACCACACAGCAATGGCTGTGGTTTCTGGCTGGTAGAGAGGATGGATTGAGTGACTGGTTAGGGAAGTATCTAGAAGCCCTGTTTTGTGGAAAGAGCTGAGGCTGCCCAGCAGGTGGGGGAGACCCAGGGAGGCACAGTTATTGCCCTGTAAGTGCAGGACTGCCGCTATACCCCAGGAGGGAGAGCCAGAAAAACCTGAGCCACCAGCCCCAGTTTCTAAGAGCAGAGAGTTCCCTGGGCTGGGGTGGATGACCCGAGAGGGGAGCTGGCTTCCCCGAGACCCAGAGAGGTCATGCAGCAAGACTTTCCAACGATCTGCTGACCACCACACCTCCTGAAGCCTCCCCCAGTCCTCCCGCTCACCTCCCTGCTCCTTCCTACCTCCTTGTAGTGCCCGAAGAGCCAGTGGGAGGGAGGTGATGGGAACTCTCGGACAGCCTTGAGCAGCCACTGGCGGTGCAGGTAGAGCTGGACAGCCTTGAGCAGCAGCAGCACCAGGCCGAGCAGGAAGGCCACTTGCAGGAGCCCAGAGAAACTGCCCAGGGATCTGGTGGGGCTCAGTGCGGAGACACTCATGGTGCCGTGACTGCAGGATGGCTGGCTCAGCCTGACTGTGCCTGATCACCCAACCCACATCAATGTCAGGGAAGGGTGGCCCCACCCACCTTGGGGAGGTGACTGCAGGGGGCAGGGCTTATGGACTGGTAGAGGCAACTGTGTCTGATTGCCAGGACTGGAAACTGAGGCTGCCAGAGGAGGGGACTGGAGAAGGGCCTCAGGGACAACGGTGGAGGAATACTGGCACTTGGTGGCTGGGTGTGCCATTGTACATGGGAAATGTAAACAGTAATGTCGACACTGGTGTAAATCACCAACCTCAGCAACAAAACTGAGTCACTGAAGATCTATCTGAGAAAGAATGAGGGAGCTTTCCCAGCTGCACACTCCTGGCTCCTCTCCATATTACTCAGCAGCTATTCATTGAGCCCAACGGTGTCCTGCCACTCTGCTGTCTGGACATAGCTGTAAGCGAAACAGACACGAAGCCCAAAATGAAGAAATTCATAGTCTCATTGATCAAATATCTGGTAGGCATGTTTGGTTCCATTATTGCCTGCATTTGAGAGATGAGAAGGTGTCTGTAGAGAAAGGAAAACGGCCGTTGAGATTCCCAGTTTGGCAAATCATTCCCAATCACTGCCATTTCTATTAAAAACAATAAAGCTACTTTTCTGACAAGATTCATCTAGTTTCAATAAACTTGACCTGTTACTTGTGAAAGTGCAAAAAGAATAATGATCAAGTAGATTGGCTCCTTTCAATCTGCTTTACTAGAAAGAGTTCTCATAAGCACCTCAGCTTGAACTCTTAAGAACCTCTTAGTTATCATCTCAGAGTAACTTTGTATCTCACAGTGATTCAATAATTAAAAAAATCTTTCAGGGAATAGAAACCATGTTGAAGTCTGGCAGCCTGTTTGTCATACATTACCTATAGGTCAGGTTAATGCTTTTCTTCTCAAGATTTCAAAAATGGCTAATATTCCTTGGGGTTCTGAGACCTTCGTTATTCATCTGGTAAGGCTGTTTGGCACCCTCTGTGCAAGGTCCCAGGCCAGTATTTCTAAGAAGATTTAATGGTCTCCATGAAGTCAAGCCTAAGGCTGTCTGGTCACTCTGGAGCCCTTGAACATCTCTCAAATAAGACACTCTAGGCCAAGCCTTAGTCATATAAGCATGTTTCCAATTATGGCCTGCAAAGTAGATTGTTACTGAACTTATGAAAGAGTTATTTTGGCTTGAAAATAAGATTTTTTACCAAGTATTCAAAGTCTGGAATTCGAAAGGTAGGAGATAGAAGAAATGCTTCTTCTTTGTTAATGAAGTGATATTTTACAACATTGCTGACAGAATACAATAAAAGAAAATGTTGACACTGAAAAATGTGAGTGGTACCTAAGAGATATTCATGGGAGTTTATTGTAATCAGCTGAGTGGAACTTTCTATTACCTTTCTGGGTGGAGCCAAAGAAAGCTTTGCTTCCCTAAGTAATGAGGCAGGCAGATAATTTCTCTGAAAACGTGAATCTGAAACTTTCAATAACAGAATCAGAAATGCTACTACTAATAACTAATTATAGCACTTGTCTGAAAAGATTTATTGGTACCCTGTTGGAGTTATTGCGGTATCTGGCCCTAATTTTTATTCTTGAGTCTTAATTTTCCCTAAGTTATCAAAATGTGTACACAGTTTGGTTTTATGATCTTTAGTTATCAAAGACTGTATTGTAGAGTACTTGTCTTTTCTACTGATCTCTCTGAAAATGACATATAGTTGTAGGATAACAATTGATTTGTCTTTTCTCCCTTGCCACAAGGAGCTTAAGTTTATCAGGTTGCACCCATCACAGTGCTCCCGAGTCACTCCCATTCCTTTGTTTGTCTGTAACCACTTCTTTGTGCTCTTTTTTCCCAACCAGTGTTAGGATACAGATCAAAATCTCCCTTTAACAACAAAGAGACTCCAGAGACAGCAAACAGCAAACAGGGTTTATTGTAAGACTGGCTAGCCAGGGTTGAGTCGCCTACGCAGACACACGGGTCTGGCAGAATGGACAAGACCCCGAGCTTCTCCAAAGGGGATCTTATATAGGCCTTCACTGACCATTACAGCAGAGCCTGTGCACTTCATAGCCAATAGATTTGTAACAACAGATACTTTTCTAACCAATCCAATTAAGAGTACATCACTTCTTAGCCTATAGTTTAAAGATCAGCATTTGCGTCAGTGCTTAGAAACGTCCTGGTTTTTAGGGCAGTCCTGGGTCTTGTGACATGGGTCTTGTGAGAGACATCTGGTTATCTGGTCTGACCCCCACCCTTCTCATGACTTGCAACTCGGAAGTACCTGTATCTGAATTCCTTGCTCAGGGCCAGAAAAACCAGTTATTTTTCAATGAAGGCTCCTGTAAAGAGGATCTGAAAAAGCTATCTAGACCTGTTCCTCACACCAGTTAATCAGCTTTTCTCCCTACCAGAATCTGTTAATTTGTAAGGTCAGATCCTTTTAGGACACTGAACTTGTGAGTTAATATTGCCTTTCTCGGGGATGGAGTGATAGCACAGCGGGTAGGGTGTTTGCCTTGCACGCAGCCGACCCGGGTTCGATTCCCAGCATCCCATATGGTCCCCCGAGCACCGCCAGGAGTAATTCCTGAGTGCATGAGCCAGGAATAACCCCTGTGCATCACCGGGTGTGACCCAAAAAAGCAAAAAAAAAATATTGCCTTTCTCCTCTCCTTATGTCTTTTGAATAGTTTAATGCACTATCCTTTTTGTATAGATACAGGAAGGCCGTTAATATTATGCTTTGTAGTTTAGAATTTAATTGGCTTTGAATATTATTCATTCCCGGGCATCTGCTTTCTCAACTTAGCCTCAGTTGCCCTCACTTCCTAGCGCCCCCCAAAACAGGGTCCCGACGAGGGACTGGATGGAACCAGGGCAAGTGGTAAGCTATGAGCTACCCTGGCATCGAGATGGGCCTGGCCAAAGTGCCACGATTCTTAACTATAGGTTGAGAGTTTGATCATAGGCAAATGCAATCATGATCCAAAAGTAACGACGAGACTAGGACCCTGCTAGGGATAGGAATCTGACCTGAGCACTGTAGTCTGAGATCGAGATGGCCCTAGGAGAGCAATTCTATAAGCTTGAGGTATTTCTTACTGTGTCCATACAAAATGATTTATATTATGTGTGCTTATATATTCATTGGACAAGGAGAGGAGAAACACACCTAGGGGATTCCGTTCTAGGGTGGGTTGGTCTGCTAAATGAGAATCTGCCCTAGGAGTGACTTTCCCATGTGTCCAGACTAGTTTGAATGAGGCTGAACATTTTTCCCTTTCAAACTGCCTTCAGTAAATAATTTCAGTATATTGTAAGAGGCAGTTTCCCTTTTCTCACAGAGACCTGGCTGATCTTAGATATGCAGATCTCAGGTGCTAGCCAGGCCTGATCTTTGGGATATAGATTGCAAGCTCTAGCAGACTGGTCATTGGAATGCAAATCCAAGTGCTTGTAGTTTGTGAAAGTGCTTGTGAAAGGTTTCAGTTTTGATTTTGTATCTTCTTTCAGGAGGCCAAAATTACTGGCCTGCAGGTATAAAGAAACAATGTATGTTTTGCTGCCTCAATGTTCTTTCTGTAACTCCTTTTGGTGACATCACTTTATTGCGCCCGTTAGAGGTACCATGATCTATATAAGGAGATTTCGGAACTCTCTAGGGGCAACACATGCTTGAGAGAACCCGGAGGGGCCGGTCTGAGAGAACCGAGGGCTTGAGAGATCCTGGGGCTTACAGGTCTGAGAGAACGTGGGCCCTCTATGACATAAATTTCTTTTATGGGATATAATGAGACTCTAAGAGTGGGTTGGGAAAGGCAGAGAGAGACAGGAGTGAATGGAGGGAGGATCTGAGAGGGATGGTCTGAGAGAACCGGGGGTCACAGGCTGAGAGAATTGGGGGAACACATGGAGAATGGAAAGAGGATTGGAATAAACTGCAACTAAGACCAACCAGCCTGGCCCTCGTTCCTTCACCTGCCCATTGCCATTGACCTCCCCGGAGTGGGGGAAACGGCCTGAAACTACTGAACTTGGGCGGAGGGAAAGATAGACCGCTGCCATCCTTTTGTGTTTACATATCTGGTGTTCCTGGGTGAGCACGAACCACCAACCTTTTGGTTTTTATGATCTTCAAATTATCCAAGACTGTATTGTAGAGTACTTGTTTTTTCTACTAATCTCTCTGAAAATGACATATAGGTGTAAAAGTATTAGCATATAACAATAATTCTGTGAATGGAAAAAAATTAGAAATGGCTATGACCAAAGATGTGATTAGATTAACCATTATAGTGTTATTGACAGAAATTTTTTATTTCTGTGATAATAAGTGAAAATAAGTCATAATGATAAAATATATGATAAAATAATGATACAATTATAAAACTAATAATAAAATGATAAGAGATAATGTAATAAATGACAATAATAAGTGATAACTTTTTAAGAATGTATGATTTTAGAGAGAACAGGGGGGAATGCCCTGCCACAGTGGCAGGGTGGGATGGGGGGGTGGGGGGGAGGGATATTATCCATGGTGGCAGAAAATGGGCACTGGTGGAGGGATGGGTATTTGATCATTGTATAAACGAAACCCAAGCACAAAAATTTGTAAATCTACAACTGTACCTCATGGTGTTTCACTAATAAAAAAAAAAGAATGTATGATTTTTACAGATGGTATAAAAATTCCTAGAATACCTATACTATATATAACTATATTCTATAACAACATAGAATACCTATGTAATATATATAGAATACCTAGAGAATACCTGTATTCGATATAATTTCTAGAATACCTACCTGAGAAATATTATATAAAGAAGGCTTGGTATTGCTTCCTCCACCCTCCCCCGCCCTTCCATTTCCTCTTGGATTGCAATGACCAGTATCACAGCCACTTGGTTGCAGTGTTTACACACCAGGAAGGAGTTCTCAGGGCCCACACACTGGTCTGTGGTG